AATAATAAAATTCTTCTTCGAAATTTAATTATTTAAAAAAAAATTTAATAAAATTCTTGTCAAAATTTCAATTATTTACAAAAACTGTCCACAATTCAGTGATTTTCAATATCTACTATTCTAATTAAGGAATTCAATTATTTTCATAAAAAATAATTTTAAATTCTAAAAAATAATAATTGAATTGAAATTATGAAAATAATAATTTGTCAAACAATATTTTTTAAAGAAAAAAAAACAAAAGCATACACAAAAACTAACTTCAAAGCGTGGACAGACAGAATGAATGAAATAATGTAATTTCGAAGATTATTATAGTTAATTTATTAATTAATTATTGCTTTAAAGTAAAAATAATTGTCATAAATTAAATCAAAGTTTTAAAGTATAATTTTTTGGAAGAAATTTTTCGAAATTTTTATACAAATACGAAATGCTACTAAAAATTGATAAAAACTTTTTTTTATTATAAAGCTTTAGAATTTTGAGTAAAAAAAACCATAACCTATTTTTTGTTCAGGACACTAAATTATTCAATATTGGTTTTTTTCCAAATAATTACAAATTGAATAATTCAAAATCAAATTATTCGTCCTTTAGGTTCATTAAGTTTTAGATGAAATTTATTATCAAATAATTTATGCCTAAATAGTTCAAAATTTAGATAATTTCACATTTGTATTCATTAATCATTAGTTGAAGCGAAATTTGTAGAATTTTAAGTTTCGATGAATTGAATTTGCGTGTATAATTTATAATCAAAATTAGTTAATAATTAATATAATAAATAATAATAATTTTAAATTTACATGGATTATTTCGAAAATCGATTAGAAAAATTTGAATAAATTTGGAGGGAAATTTGGAGATTTTTAAGTTTCGATAAATTGAATTTACGTGTATAATTATAATTAATAGTTAATAATTAATATAATAATTAAAATAAATAAATAATAATAATAATAGTAATAATAATTTTAAATTTACGTGAATTATTTTGAAAATCGTTTATCAAAATTTTAATAAGTTGAACATTTTGAAAGTATTAATTTTTAGACTAATTTTAGCTTTTAAATCTTCGGAATAGTATTTGATTTTCGTCTTTAAAATTTTAAAATGTAATTTAAATTTAATTTAATGTAATTTAACAGATTAAAAATGTTGTTTAATTATTTAAAAAATATTTTCGTGACGATAAAAAATAAAATTTATTACATTGTTGTCAAGAACGTCAAAAAAATAATTTCTTTCGAGATACAATTGCTAATTATTTCGAACTAGAGTTTTTTTTTTTATTTTATTCAAATATTAACATAAATATCAACTTTTAAATATAACTTTAAATTAACATTTATTTTATTCAAAACTATACAAAGAATTAGAAAATTCTTAGTAGTTTTGAATAAAATAAATGTTAATTTAATTAAAAAATTTTTGTTCATTAAAAGACATTAAAAGTAGTATGTGAAATAAAAATTACTTCTAAATATTAACAACTACAAAGTAGTAAAGAAGAAAATTAAAAAAAATTGAACATAGTCAAGGTTGGACCCCTGGAATTTTTAAAATAAGAAACACTAGCGCCACCTATGCGAGGGCGTCTCAAACCTCTTCTAACTCAATTCTCTAAATTCGTTTACTAAAAAAAGTTATTAACAAAATTCAAAAGGTGGTCCAACCCTGACTATGTTTCCCTATCGTAAAATAATATTTATAGCAAGCAAGCTATTTGGGAAAAATTCTAAAATACTGGAAATTTTCCGAAAAAAAATACAAAATTCATTCGTAAGATTTAAGAATTTTGTGAAAAAAAATTTTTTCTTATGAAAGAAAAAGAATTTTAAATTTTAAAAATTTTAAATTTTTAAATTAATTAATTAATTAATTAATTAATTAATTAATTTTTTTTTAATTTTTAAATTTTTAAAGAAAAAAAAAAAGAATTAAAAATTTTTTCAAAGAAAAAAGAAAGATTTGAGTTTAATTAATAGAAAATAGTTGAAGGGGGAAAATAAGTCTTAAAAAACCCCCTCTCGTGCCCCTCTTGCCGTATATGTATATATATATATTAGTGTGGGAAGGAACTTTGCAAAAAAGGGGTGCGTACATGTACATGAAAGGGAGGAATGGTTGAGGGTGGAAAACGAGACCAATGGAATGGGTTTCGACGATGGGGGAAGCCACCATTTATTTTCCACCCTTCTCTCCCCCCCTCCCACCTCTTTTTCCAAGCGTTGCCTCACGGGAGAACGGACCGGCATGCGGGCATCATTAACGCCAACCTTAACCACCCCCCATGTGTGTCTTATGGCCGATCCTCGCTCTCTTCGAAGCTTTATTAACCATTTGCGGCAAGGTTGCTTCGTCTATCCGCCAATAACATTGTTGCTTTTCTGCAACGATCGTTTTGCTTTTACTATTTTCGCTACTCTATATATATATATACAATACATATATATATTTGTGTGCAGATAATAGACCAAAAACTATTCTAGGCGTTACTTGCTTTTATGCATATACATTTCAAGTCTCAGGAACGATTTCAAATTGCATCGTTTCTCAACCGAATGTTTTTTGTACATGTGTATGTTTTTGTATATATATATATTTGCCATCAAAGTCGACTCAACGACTTGGTTTCATTTACAACTCAATATATCTGACATTTTGTTGGTAATTTTTATTTTTTTTATTTTCATTTATTATTTTAGAAGAAGAATTTTTTAGTTTTGTTTCTTTTTAATTTTATTGTGATATTTTCGATTTGAGGAAAAATTTTTGCATTGGAAATGTTTCTTTTATTCAGGGTTGCCACAGGTCAGGGAATTCAGGAAAAAGTTAGGGAAAATACAATTAGTCAATAAAATCAAGAAAAAGTCAGGGATTTTCATTAAAAGTACTGGAAAAAATTAAATGTTTTGAATTCCTAAGAAAATTATAAATTTTCGTGTATTTTTTGCGTTTGTTTAATAAACTGTGAAATTATCACGAATTTTATTATAAAACTTTCAATTTTTTCTATTAGAAATTAATGATTGCAATAATTCAATTGTTTTTAAAAGTAATAAAATTCTTCTCAAAAATTCAATTATTTTCAAAAGTAATAAAATTCTTCTCAAAATTCAATTATGTTCAAAAATTGAAAAAAAAAAATTATTAAAAAAAATTTTAGTAAAATTCTTGACAAAATTTCAATTATTTTCAAAAATTGTCCTCGGTTTTCAAAATGTACTATTTTAATAAAATTTTTCAAAAGAATTTAATTATTAAAAAAAATTTTTTTTCTTATATTCTACGCAAACATTTAATTATTTTCATAAGTAAATAAAACTCATCGCAGAATTTCAATTATTTTCAAGACAATTTAAATCTAATTCCTCGACAACTGTAATTAACTTAAAAATTTTTTATTAAAATTCGTCGAAAGAATTCAATTATTTCAAATTTTGTTAATAAAATTCTTTATAGGAATTGAATTCTCGTAGAATTGTCTAATAAAAATTGATTTAAAAACGAATATTTATTAAAAATTTTGATAATAATTGAATATTAAAAGCATATGAATTTTTTAGAAATAATTGAATTTCGAAAAGATTTCAAATTAAAATCTTTGAAACTCAGAAGTTTCATACTTTTAACTAACTAAATTATTTAAAAATAATTGATTTAAAGAAGAATTTTTGTTAAAAATTCAATTATTGACAAATTTTTTGCAATGATTCAATTATTTTCATAAATAATAAAATATTTTTAATAAGAATTTTATTACTTTTAAAAATAATTGAATTATTGCAATCATTAATTTCTAATAGAAAAAATTGAAAGTTTTATAATAAAATTCTTTATGAGAATTCAATTTTTAGAAACATTAAATTATTCAAGGAATTATTTATTTTTGTATTTAAGTAATTGAATTCTCGTAGAAAAATTTCAATTATCTTTAAAAATAATGAAATTCTTCTGCGAAACTTAATTATTTTCAAAAATTTTAATAAAATTCTAGGCAAAATTCAATTATTTTCTTAAATAATAAAATTTATTACAGGGATTCAATTATTTTCATAGATAATAAAATTCTTTTCAGGAAGTCAAAAATAGTTGTTTGAACCAAATAAAAATTATTTGAACCAATAAAAATTGTTTGAATCAAATGAAAGTTTATTTGAATCATAAAAAGTTGTTGGAACCAAAAATAGTTGTTTTAACCGAATAAAAATTATTTGAACCAAAAATATTTTTTTGAACCAAAGAAAAATTAATTGTCAAAAAAAAAATGTTTGAACCAAATAAAAGTTATTTGAATCAAAAGAAGTTGTTTAAACAAAAAAAAAATTATTTGAACCAATAATATTTGTTTGAACCAAGGAAAATTTATTTGAACCAAAAATACTTGTTTCAACAAAAAAAAAGTTGTTTGAACCAAATAAAAATTATTTGAACCAAAAATACTTGTTTGAACCAAAAAAAATTGTATGAACCAAATAAAATTTATCTAAAAATTTTATCAAAAGTTATTAATTCACAAGAATTGAAAAATCAAAACAATGAAAAATTGCAGGACGTATTATTATTATTTATTAATTCACTTTTTTCTATATTAAAAATTTTTAAAAAATATCAACAATTATCCCCCCTAGAAAAAGATTCGTTTCAGAAACAAAAAAAAAAAAAAAATAAATGCGCATTTAACCGGAATCCGGTTGGACAATGATGAAAAAGAGCGTTAGGAAGATCTTCCAGAAAAACCAGTTTCTTCTTGTTTCGCAGGAGGTCCACCCCAAGGGGGATGCTGCATCTCGCTAGATTTAAATATCTCCCTTATCCCCTTCGAAACTAACAGTTTTGAAAGTTTTTTTTTTCTTTTTATCTTCTTTCTCTCTGTATATCATCATCGTGGTCCAGTTTTATATTAACTAACCGGTGCAGACCCCACCTGGACAATTCTGGACCCCCAGTAGTCGCTATTCAGGTTTTCATTTCATCTCAAAATCTCCTTTTGATATTTAGATCTATTTTTCGTTTCTGTCAGTTGTGCTCATGGCGATCTAAACGCGAGACGTGAATACTCTTTTCTCTAAAAGAAAAATAAATAAATGAAAAATAAATAAAATAAAAGAAGAAGAATTATTATTTCTCCAAAAAAATTGAAAATAAAAATGTTCTGTGAAGTGAGTGAATTTCAAAAGATGATTATGTTGTAAGTTGATATTGAGGTTCTAAAGAAAGTGAAAGGAATTTTTTTTTTAATGTGAAATAATAATCATAATAAAAATAATTATAAAAATAATAATAATAATAAAAATAATAAGAACAAAAATAGCAATAATCATACAATAATCAAACAATAATCAATAATAAAAATAAGAACAAAAATAACAATAATCATACAATAATCAAACAATAATCAATAATAATGATAATAACATAAATAATATTAATAAATAATAATAATAATAATAATAATAATAATAATAATAATAATAATAATAATAATAATAATAAAAATAAAAATGATTAATTATAATTATTATTATTATTATGAGTTTACATCGTATTTAAAAAATTATTTTTTTCTAGTTTTGATTTGGTTTTGAAAATGAAAGAAAATATTTTTAAAAAAGTCCAATACTTTCAAAAAAATGAAAACAAAATTTTTTCAATATAGTTTCCAATTATAATTGTAATAATTTGCTGATAATAAATAAAATAAATTTTTTTTTTCGAATTATATAAGAAAAAAAAGGAGGGAAAATTTTCGAAAATTAATTAATTAGTTTCTGGGTGGGGAGAAGGGGGAGGGGGTTTCTTTATTAATGAGTGAGACGTGTAGACACAAGTAGTGCATTGTTTTATTATTTTGATCAATAATGTAGTAACCCGAGGGCGTAGCTTTCATAAATATGTAATCATTATAATGCATCACGTATGATTAGTGAAGCATTCTCCATGCTTTATCAAAATGCATGATTACTTTATGTGCATAATTAACTCCCCTCACCTCTCTGCCCCCCCCCACCAAAAAAGGTACTGTCAGATCTTAAAAAAAAAGAGAAAGGTAAAAAATTGGAAAATATTTCATGGATACTTTTGTGTCCATGAAATATTTGTCAATTTTTTTTTGTTAAGTATTGTCAATATGAGTTTTCTTTTATTTTTTTTTTTGGATTTTATGAGTTTAATATTGTAAATTATAAAATAGAAAAATTTTATTCAACTTTCGGAATTTTTTTTCTTGGATTTTACAAATTTGTTTGTAAAATAAAAAATAGTGGGTATTTTATACAAGTTTCGGATTTTTCTGTTTTTCTTTGTTTTGGAGTTTTTTAAATTTGATTTTAAAATATAAAATAGGAAAATTTTATACAACTTTCGTAATTTTATATATATATATATATATATATATATATATTTTTTTTGATTTTACAAATTTAGTTGTAAAATATAAAATAGGAAAATTTTTATACAAGTTTATTATAAATGTTTATACAAGTTTATTTATAGTTAATTCAATAAATAAATCGGCAAAGTGTAATATTTAGTAGTTAGAAAAAATTAATTATAATTGAAAAAGAAATATTTAAAAAAATTAATAGACAATTAAAAAATAACAATTAAAAAAAATATTTTATAATAAATATAGTAAATGGAATAAATAATTAAATAAATAATAATAACGAAAGAAAACTGAAAAACTACAAAAAACAAAAAATAATAAAATAATAATAGAGAAAACAACAAAAATTGAAAAAAAACTAAAAGAGTAATTAAAAATTGAAAAATTGTATAAAAAAAAAATAAATAAATTATTATAACAATATTCACGAGGGTAAAAATTAGGTTACTTGTTTACATTGTCTGATATAATGAAAATGTCGTAAACTGCCGCAGACAGTGATGTAAGCTTTATACAGAAATAAATTGGTAAATTGTAAATTAATTCCATTATCCTTGGATGATCCTGGATAATAAGAGAGAAAAAGTGAGATAGAGAGGAGAAAGGAGAGGGGAAGGTTTGCGAAGGTGGTTGAGTGAAAGGAAAAAAGTGAGCCATTAAAAATGACATGAACGACAAGCTTGAAAACGAGGGTGCGCGTAATATACGGCAAGAGCTTTAAAACGATTATCGAGAACAAGTTCCAATATATCGAATCTAAAGGAAAAGATAGAAGAAAAAAAGAGAGAAAAAAGTTGGTGAGGGGGTGGGGAGGAAAATAATTCCAAAGAATTCGATAAACCTCAAAAACCACTTTCAAACCATGAACTTTTTTTAATTCCGAATCAAAATTTTTTATTTTCTTCAAAGTACAGTATAGTTGAATTATTAATTAATATTAGTAGGAAATTAATGGACTAAACATTATTATTGGAAAATTTGGTATTTAAATTATTAGCATTATTAACTAATGTTTAATCATCATTATTAACAAATGTTAAAAAATAAAATAGACTAAAAATTATTATTGGTAAATTCAGTAATTAAATTAATAAATTTAACATTATTAATTAATGTTAAAAAATAAAATAGACTAAAAATTATTATTGGTACATTCAGTAATTAAATTAATAAATTAAACATTATTAACAAATGTTAAAAAATAAAATAGACTAAAAATTATTATTGGTAAAGTTAGTAATTAAATAAATAAAAAAAACATTATTAATTAATATTACTAATATATAATTAATAAATAAAAACAAATCATTTTCTTCTTCTTTGAATTACTTTTATTTTTTAAGTAACAAAATAATTGTATACTTTAAAAATTAGTAAAAACTTTCTAATAAATTTCTCAATTTAAAAAAAGTATTGCAAAAATAAATTAAAACTTTGCAAAAATGTTAGAAAAAAAAAATTTGAGTTAAACTTTATTATAAATCGAAAAGAATTAATTTCAGTTGGGAAAAAAAAATCTCTCTGAAATTAATTTAGATTTTAGAAAAATTTCCATTTTTTTCCCTTAAAGAATTTCCTTCTAAAATTGCGCTACTTATTTTATTTTCTGTTTGTATTTTCTTTTTTCGTCTTTTTTTTCTGTTTTTCTCAAAGGAAACATATATAACTCTTGGCGGAAACAAGGAACGGACATTAATCCGTGTTGGCGTAACTTTTAACGGCCAGTAACTCATCCGATCAAACCAGTGAAACTTGGGAGGCACACGAGGCTTAGTCCTAATTTAAGGGTGGAAATGAAAACCACCCCTTGGCTGACGCTAATTTAAGACTAGCACTGGCCGCTCATTTGTTTTAACCGCTTTTCCGTGGGTGCGGCGCAACCCCTCCCTCTCTCTTCCTCCCCTCCCCCCGCAAACGCCTTTTTCCCTTCGTGGTTTACTTGACTTTTACTAATTTTCGACCAGTTTATTCCGAACAATTTTAGTTTACATTAGAAGAAGAAGAAGAAGAAGGAAATTACATTAATTATTTTCACATTTAGATTTTATTGCTTTTTTCATTATATTTACAAACATATTTTTATTTAATTTTATTTTCTTACTTTTTTCAGTATTTGCATTTTATTCTTTTTTTTATTATTTTATTTATTTTTTTAGTATTTTTAAAAAAATATTTTTGTATATTTCTTTTCCTAATTTTTTTCTACTTTTCTGTATTTTTTCCTATTTTTTGTACTTTTTTGTATGTTTTGTCCTTTTTCTCTATAGAAAAAAATATTCTTCAGAAGAAAATTTTTTTCTGAATGAAATATTTCGAGAGAAAATATTCTTTCCAAAAGAAATATTTCAAGAGAAAATATTTTTTCAAAAGAGAAATACTACGAGAAAAGAAATTATTTTTTCGAAAGAAACATTTTGGAGAAAAGAAATGAATTTTTGCGAAAGAAATATTTCGAGGGTAGAAAAATATTTTTTCCGAAAGAAAGAATATTTGGTGAGAGGAAAAACTATATATTTTATCAAGTTTGATTATTTTTTGATAAATTAAAAAAAAAGACGGTTAAAAAAAAGGATACTAAGGTCAGAGTTTTTATTAGCGTGTCCCTTTTATCTTCACCCCATTTCTCAAGTTGACTTTTATTCGCTACGCGACTTTCCCCGAGAGCTTTTATGAATTACTTGTTGCGCCTCGGAGTTTTTTCTCCCAGAATAAAAATTGCTTTCATCAATGTCGCTCCGTTACAAAAAAAAAAAAAAAAAAAAAACATATACATACGTAGTGAAAAAAGGAACACTAAAATTCCCTTTTGCCTCTGTATAGAATTTCAAAAACAAAAAAATTGATTCCAAGAGTAGTAAACAAACACAAAAATATTGCTAATTTAGCAAATTTTTCAAAAAATTCAGGTTTGGAATTTCGGGCTTTGAATTCCTCTACTAAAACCTACTATTTACTACTTTTTTTACGTTATACTATTTGGGTACTTTTTTATATTTCAGACACTAAAAGTTACTATTTTAGTTTTTTTTTAAATTTCCACTACTTTAAATTTGTTAAAACTAAAAACAAAAAACTATTCTCAAAAATTATAATCAAATTCTTTAAAACGATTCAATTATTTTCAAAAAAGATTCGAAATTCCATTACTTTCAATATCTAATAATTTCATAAAATTTCGTAAAAGAATTCAATTAAAAACAAAATTAACAAAATCCATTTAAAATTCACTTATTTTCATAAATAATAAAATTCACACAGGAATGGAATTAATTTAGAAAAGCATTTTAAAAAAAATTTCAAAAAAATCAATTATTTAACAAAATTTTCATACAATTTTTCACAATAATTCAATTACTTTTACTAATAATAAAATTTTTCTTGGAAATTCAATTTTTTACAAAATTTGTTGATAAAATTCCAAGCAAAAATTCAACTATTTTCATAAATAATAAAACTCATCGAAGAATTTCAATTATTTTTAATACTATTTTAATTTAATTTATCGAAAAATCCAATTATTTTCACAAATATAATTTTCCACAAGAATTCAATTATATTTAAAATACAATTTTTACAATATTTATCTTATTTCGAAAAAATTAATTATTTAAAACATTGTTTATAAAATTCGTATGAAGAATTCAATTATTTTCAAAAATAACCAAATTTTTCGCAGAAATTCAATTATTTTTAAAAAAATTTTCGCAATAATTCAATTATTTCCATAAATAATAAAATTCTTCTCAGGAGTTCAATTATTTTTAAAAATTTCAATAAAATTCTTTGCAATTATCCAATTACTTTCATAAATAATAAAATTCATCGCAGGATTTCAATTATTTTAAATACAATTTTACAGGAATTGATTTAAAAATGCAATTATTCTTAAAAATTTATTTTCGATTCCTCGATAAAATCAATTATTTAAAAAATTGTTTTTATTAAATTCTTTGTAAGAATATTAGAATTTTTCACTGGAATTCAATTTTTTACAAATATTTTAATAAAATTGGTCGAAAGAAGTCAATTATTTTAAATAAAATTTTAATTAATTTTTTTTTTTTTGAAATAATTCAATTATTCTTTTAGATTATAATAAAATTGTTCCCAGCAATTATTTTATTTGCGTAAATAATTCTTCAAGAAAATTAATTTATTTTGATAAATAACAAAATTATTCCCGAAAATTCAATTATTTTGAGGAATTTTAATAAAATTCTTTGCAAAATTCAATTATTTTCATAAATAATAAAACTCGTCGACGAATTTCAATTATTTTTAATACTATTTTAATCAAATTTGTCAAAAGAATTTAATTATTTTCACAATTAAAATTTTCCACAAATATTCAATTATATTTAAAAAAAAATTTTACAATATTTCTTATGCAGAATTCAATTATTTTCAATAATAACAACATTTTTTACAGAAATTCAATTACTTTTTAAAAATTTAAATAAAATTTTTCGCAATAATTCAATTATTTTTTAAAAATTTAAATAAAATTTTTCGCAATAATTCAATTATTTTCATAGATATTAAAATTCTTCTCAGGAATTCAATTATTTTTGAAAATTTTAATAAAATCTTTGCAACTATTCAATTATTTTCATAAATAATAAAATTAATTGCAGGATTTCAATTATTTTTAATATTTAATATTTAATATTTAATATTTTTCATTTTTTTTCTGTAAAATTTTACAGAAATTGATCAAGAAATGTTATTATTCTTAAAAATTCCCAGAAATTCAATTATTTACATAAATAACAAGAAATTCAATTTTTTTATTAATAATAAAATGATTTTTAGGAATTCAATTTTTTTCAAAAGAATTTAATAAAATAGCACACAGCAATTATTTAAAAAAAGTTTTTTGAAAAATCTTAGTAAGAATTTAATTATTTTTATGAATAATAAAAATTTCTTTGGAATTCAGTTATTTAATTTTTAAAAAAAGAATCAAAAGTGTTGCGACACAACACTTTTGATTCGTTTTTTGTCTCAATTTATTGATATCTTTATAGAAAAACTGTGTATTTTATAATTATTTCAAATTATTAAAATTTTTTTTTTTTTATCTAATTAATACTTTCATTTTATTAATTAAATTCATTTTTATATTTATTTTTTATTTAATTAATGCCATAATTATTTTTCTTTATTTTTAAAACTAAATTTTTTTCGTTTTGCACAAACTGAAAAGGGAGAAAAGGAAGAAAAGGGAGAAAAAAAATGTACCTGGAAAGAAAGTTTCAAACAGCGATTTTCTCTGGAATTGCGAAAGCGGACAGCGTCTCGACTGAATTATTTGAAAATTTCGCCAATGTAGCTAAATTTTCATGTTTGGGGTTTAATTTTCCTTCCGTCAATAACAAATTAATATTAAATAAAAAAAACAATTTAAATAATGAATTTTCTTAATAAAGTAGAAAATTTTCGATTCTTTCTAACTATCAACGCTATAAATAGTGGAACTTTATTTCCACTATGGTTTCCAATTTTCCTTCATTTTCTAAATGCAGATATATGCTTTATAGGGAGAAAATAGCCAAAACTGAGAATGACTTTTCGTACATAAATGCGCCGGAACTTTGATGTCGCGACCAATCAGAATAGAAGACCGCAGCGTAGTTTGAAATGAGTCACACACTGAAATCGCATTTAATCCAATAGCGGTCCTTAATAATCCAATAACAGAAAATCCAGCTCGGGAGAAATCTACATACGTCTAAGCAAAAGAGAAAGGCGTTCGGATGAAAGAGGAAAATAGAGAGAAGGAGAGAGAGGAAGAGAATTGAGACGGGAGGATTCGAGGTAGTAACCGAGAAAGGATGAGATAGAAATGAAGGGTGTGGGAGGATCATTGGGATGTTTTTAGGAGGGAGTGCGATGGAGAGGTCCACAGAGAGTGTGAGATGAGGAAACATAGGAAACTCATACGAAAAGCACCCACCCACCCTTTCTCTCTCTCTCTCTCTCTCTCTCTTTCAACCCCCCGTCGCCTTTTCACTCCCCTTTGACCACCCTTCGTATTTCCATCGCGAAAGTGAGCGAGAGAGAAAATTAGAGAGCAAGAGAGGCGAGAGAGAGAGAAAAAGAGAAACAGTAAGATAGAGTGAGAGAGAAAGAGAGATAGAGCGATATAGAGAGAAAGAGAGAGAGAGAAAGAGAAAGGAAGAGAGAAAGAGTAAAGAAGAGTGAGAGAGGAAGAGTAAGGAGAGAGTGAGAGAGAAAGAGTAAATGAGAGTGAGAGAGAGAGAGAGAGAGAGAAAAAGAGCAATAGAGAGAGAAAGAGTAAGAGAGAGAATGAGAGAGTGAGAGAGAGAGATTTGGTCGCGGCCATGTTGCCAGAATTGCCACCATCTATCCCCCAAACTCCTAGTCATCTAGTCCACGTCAGGGGTCCGCTATGTAAATGTGGACCAACCCCACACCATTTATCCCTTTCTCTCGTACTATATACTTCATACCAAAACCTGGAGCAACGACTTTCATCTCACCCTCCCCCTTGAACTCTGCCCCTCGACCAACCCCCCACCCCTCCCTCCTCCTTCTCCCGTGAACTGCCATGAAACTAGCAGCCCCTAAATCTAAGTCCAACGAACCGGTACATTCAGCTTAGAAAATTATTCCCGTTAGAAGCTTATAGTTCACCATTATTCGCCTATTATTATTAATGCATGCAAGTTGAATATATAAATTCTAAGAAGTAGCTTCACGAAAGCCATTTTTTTGCGAAATAAATTCATTATTTCATAAGATAAAAATTATATATATAGGAAGATTTTTAAGAATATGAATTAAAATAGTGGTAGGTGGTTACTTTTTCCAAAAAAAATTACTTATATTAATCTTCGTATTCTTTCATTTATTCTGATAGCCGTTTTGAAGTTAGTTTCTTATGCTTTTGTTTTGTTTTCTTTAACCTTTTAGAGGGCTGGTAAATTTGCACAAATAGTAATTTTTTTTATTAAATAAAATTAAATAAGTAAATTCAATAAAAAGATTCGTTAAAATAAATAGTGGACACTATAGTTGCCACCACGGCCCTGTCAAGGTTAAAAAATATTGTTTGACAAATGGAAAATATACGATTTATAATAAAATAATATTTAGTAGAAAATTTAAAAAAAAATTATAAATAATATACCTATTTTGTTTTTTTTCTATAACGAATTTCGCTTGACTGATTATTCTAAATTATGCAAATTTTTCTCCTTTTTATTTATAAAAAATAGAAAATTGTTAAAAAAAATTATTATTAAGAAATATGTAATGTAATAAATATTAATTTTATGCATAATTTTTTTTTCTCAATAATAATATTGTTCACAAAACTCATTCTTTTATTTTGAAAGAAAAATCATTACATATATTTTTCTCAATATTGTATTAATAAAATTCAAAAGTTTTTCAAAAAGAAAGGAAATTTTTTTTTTTATAAATTCTATTTACAAATTATAATTGAAAATGAAATTGAAAATTTTTGAATTTTTAGAAAATAAAGGAAAAAATTTTACTCAAAAAAAAAAAACTGTTTTGTTACATTTATTCACGAATTTCAGAATTTTCTTATGAATTCTAAAAATTTAATTTTTTTCAGTACTTTTAATAAAAATCCCTGACTTTTCCCTGAATTCCCTGTATCAAAATATATGATTATTAAACAGTTATATAATAATATTAAAACTATATTCCAATTCATAATTTATTTTTTTGAAAAAAAATTATATTAAAATTTTTTACGTTCTATTATTTTTAAAATTGCTAATTTTATTTAAAAAAGTGAATAAATTTCTAATGAAATCTGTTTTCTAAAAAAAGCTTTTCCAACAAGTTTTGATTTCTAAAAAAAGTTTTTCTAAAAAAGTTATGATTTCTAATATTTATTTTCCTGAATAATGTGAAATTCGATAATTTTGATAAAAATTAGAAAACTGGTTAAAAAATTAAAATTAGAAAATAGAAACTATTTTACACATTTTCTGCTTCTCAATCACAATTTTGTTCACTAAATTATGACTTTATTTTTTAAAAAGAAGAGAAATTTTATAAAATTCTTATTTCTTATTACAATTAATCAACAAAATTCTACTATTCTTTGAAAAAAAGAAATAATAATATTTCTTTACAGTTTTTTAACGAAATCTCAAGCATTTTTTTTAAAGAATTACAAAATTTTCATAAATTTTATTTTCTAATCATGTACCTATTGATCGTCATTAAAAAAAATTGAATATTGCTAGAAAAAAAATTTGAAAATTTTCTTTATTAAAAAAACGAAATTAGAATATCACCTTCATTAGAAAAAAGTTTTTTTAGAAATTCACCATTATTTGAAAAAATATTTTCCAAAATAAAAAATTAAAAAATACATTTTAGAAAAACTACCCCAAGTTATTAAAAAATCAAATATTTATATCAAGGGGGTAGTAAGTAATTAAAATAATGAATTACAACAAAATAATAATAATAATTAACTTTTATTTATTTACAGGTAAACGGGTGAAAAATCAATTATTGTAAGTAAATTTAATTAACTACTATTTGGAATATAATTATTATTTTTCTTATTATTATTACTATCTGTCGAATTAAATTTAATAGTTGGCAATATTAGTCCCCTTGCCATCTAATATTAAGAATATTAAGAAATCGAAATATTAGTAAAAACTAAAAACAAATTTTAATAAATTAAAATATAAAATACAAATATTAATATATAGAAATATTAGTAAATATTAATTTTGAGGAAAATTGAAAAAAATGAGGAAAAGATAATTCGAAAAACAGAGAAAATGAAGAATAATAATAAATAATAATAATACGAAAAATTTGGGAAAACAGGAGAAAGTCAGTTTTTTGTTTTTTTTTTTTTATTCTGAGAGGGACAACTAGTTTGTATGTAGAGAAATATTTTTTTGTAGAAAAAAAGAACATGGAGAAACGAGAAACATTCGACATTTGATTAAAAAAAAAAAGAAAGGAAGTTGATCAAATACCGGCGAAACAAAAAAAAACCCTTTATGAAAAATGAATGGTTACCTATTCATAGTTCGTGTTAATTAGAGATACTTTAATTGCATCCATCGTTCATGCCTTATAAGTACAGTGCAAACAGTAATTTCAGGATTAAGCTGCAAAATTTCCATAAAATTGGAATTTTATAATTAAATTTACAAATGAGAAATTATATTCATGATGATAAATTTCAATATAATTTCTATTATTGATTTAACAATAATGAATTTCTCTAAGCAACAAAGATGTAGTAGGTGAAAATTTCCAAGGTTCTTTTGTTTTGGTGCAAACGTTTTTTTTAATTATTTGATACAAAAATTAAATTTTCGTTTTGGGTAAATGTAAACTAAATTTTTGTTTGCTGGTAAACGAAATTTATTTAGTACGAATACTTTTTCTTCTGCGATCAAATTACTTTTTGGTTAGAAAAAAGTCTTTTTTTTTTTGTTCAAATAAGTATTTTTTTGGTTTAAATATATTTTCTTTGCTGCAATCGAATTTTAATGGGTTCAAATTTATTTTGTTTAATGTAATTACATTTTTTTATGTCAATTAAAGTTTCATTTGGTTCAAATCGGTATTTTTTTGGTTTAAAGATAGATTTATTTGGTTCAAATCGAATATTTTTGGTTAAAATTAATTTTATTTTCTGAATTTGAACTTTCTTTGTGCCAATTTTTATTGACCTTTCATTTGGTTTCATTTAGTTTAAATCGGTATTTTTTGGTTTAAATATAGCTTTATTTGGTTCAAATCGATTTTTTTTGGTTCAAATTAATTTTATTTTCTGTAATTAAATTTTCTTTCGGACAATTTTTATTGACCTTTCATTTGATTATATTTGGTTCAAATTAATTTTATTTTCTGTACTTGAATTTTCTTTGCTTCAATTAAAAATTCATTTGGTTCGAATCAGTATTTTTTTTGTTCAAACAAAGCATTATTTTGATTAAAATCGAATTTTTTTGGTTCAAACATACCTTTATTTGGTTCAAATCTAATTTTTTGTTTTAAATTAATTTTATTTTGTATAATTGAATTTTCTTTGCGTCAATCAAAGTTTCATTTGGTTCGAAACGGTCTTTTTTTGGTTCAAACAAAGCATTACTTTGTTCAAAACTAATTTTTTTGGTTCAAATTAATTTTATTTTTTGTAATTAAATTGTCTTTGGATAAATAAAAGTTTCATTTGGTTGAAAACGGTATTTTTTTGGTTCAAATTAATTTAGTTTTTTTGCAATAGAATTTTCTTAGGTTCATTTAAATGTTTCATTTGGTTCCAATCGGTATTTTTTTGGTTAAAATCGAATTTTTTTGTTTTAAATTAATTTTATTTTTTGCAATAGAATTTTCTTTGGCTCAATCAAAGTTTCATTTGGTTCCAATCGGTAATTTTTTGGTTGAAACAAGGCTTTATTTGATTCAAATTAATTTTATTTTCTGTAATAAAATTTTCTTTGGTACATTTTTTCATTTGGTTCAAAGTTACCTTTATTTGGTTCAAATCGAATTTTTTCGGTTCAAATTAATTTTATTTTCTGTACTAGAATTTTTCTTTGGTTCAATCAAAGTTTCGCTTGGTTCAAGTCAGTTTTTTTTTTTTGGTTCATACAAAGCTTTATTAGGTTCGTATCGTTATTTATTTTTATTTAAATTAATTTTATTTACAAGCAAAAAATATTTTATTCGAAGCAACTACAAATTTTATTAAATTAGCAAAATTTTTAGTTTATTTAGTTAAGACTTTTGCTGTTCCAGAGAAAATTGTCCTTGCTTCAGGTAAAATATTTTTTTGTGTACTTTAATCGAATTTTATTTGGTTCAAAATATTGTTTTCTTTAATTAAAGTAAAAATTATATGATTCGAGTAAAAATTATTTGATTCAAGTAAACGTTTACTTAATAGTAGCCAACTAATCAGTATTTTGAGTCAAATAAATTATTTCTGCCACTCCACCCACAGAAATAGAAAACTTATTTTTTCCCCACACATTAAAACTATGTCATCGACGGTATTTAAGAACCAAAAAAAAAAAAAAAAACAGAAAAAAAAACAGAAAAATCCCATGAAACTTGATATGAAAAATGAAAAACAAGAATAATGTTCCTCTCTCGTGCATATATGAAACACACATGAAAAGTGTTGATATCATGGTGGCATTACACGCAGTCAGCATGAAACATGCCGTCGAGTTTCCGGCTGGCTTCCGGCAGTGTCAATCTACAGTATACTGCGTAACTCGCATCAGGTTTTGCGTTATTTCAAGCGAAAAGGTTAACCCAGCCATTGAGCCCTAAAAACCGACTCGAAATTTACACACAATTCTGCTGGAAATCTATATATACATATATATATATATATATATCGTATATATACAAAACCAATACACAAATTCCAAGTTTCTATACACACATATATATATTCAGGAGCGGCCATTTCCGCCGCAGAGTTTCTAAGCGCGCTAAATAATGGCCGCGCTAGAAATCCATGGTCGTAAGAAGGGAAGAAGGGGTACACACGGGTGTTTCTCACCGAAAATGTCCGTGGTGCAGAGGAGCGAGAGTCATACAGAAATTTTGCATTAGTGTTTGAGGGGGAAATTTCCTTTTCCCCTTGTACTTGTGTGCCAATCTAGAAACAGTGGGCAACAGAATGTGTGTTCGTGTCTGTGTGAATAAGTTTGTTTACGTGAGTGTATTGGTTGTGTTTGGAGAAATAAACGTGTGAGTGTAGATGGCAAGGACTCGGGGAAAATGTTTGTAAAGAGACATTGAATATGTGTGAGAGAGTGTGTGTGTGTGTGTGTGTGTGTAAGAGAGAGTGGGTGAATATTAATTTAGGCACGTGGTCCTGGTGAGCTAAGAAAAATGCCTCCACGTTAGGGAGTTGCTTCATGTTCCGTTGGAGTTTAATCTCGAAACCGGGAGTCCGTGTGCGTTAATGTGTCTGCCAACACTAACACTCGTCCCCCTCTCTCTATCACGTACGATGTACTTCCGTGTCCACATTGCCCCCCTCCTAAAGCCTTTGCCCTTATTCTCTCTATCTCTCTCTATCTCTCTCTCATTTTCTCTACCAATCTGTTTCTTCCTCTTTGTCACTGTCTCTCTCTCTCTCTCTCTCTTCCTCACTGAATTTTCTATTCCCTTCCTGTATTTTCTATTATCTCCTTCTATTTTCTATTATCTCCTTCTATTTTCTATTATCTCCCACTATTTTCTATTCTCTCATCCTTTCTTATTATTTCTCCTTCTCTTTTATGTGCTTCCTCCCTTTTTTCTATTCTCTCTTCTCTTTTTATATTCTTTCCTCCTGTTTTTCTAATCTCTCCCTCCCTTTTTTCTATTTAGCCCCCTCCCCTTTTTCTATTCTCTCCCCTCTTTTTCTATCCCCCCCTCTTTTTCTATTCTTTCTTCCTGTTTTCCTAATCTCTCCCTCCCTTTTTTCTATTCTCTCCCTTTGTTTTCTATTCTCTCATCCTTTTCTTTTTATTATTTCTCCCTCTCTTTTATCTGCTCCCTCCCTTTTTTCTATTCTCTACCATCTTTTTCTATTCTTTCCTCTCGTTTTTCTAATCTCCCCTCCCTTTTTTCTGTTTAGCCCCCTCCCCTTTTTCTATTCTTTCCCCTCTTTTTCTATCCACCCCTCTTTTTCTATTCTTTCTTCCTGTTTTCCTAATCTCTCCCTCCCTTTTTTCTATTCTCTCCCTTTGTTTTCTATTCTCTCATCCTTTTCTTTTTATTATTTCTCCCTCTCTTTTATCTGCTCCCTCCCTTTTTTCTATTCTCCCCCCTCTTTTTCTATTCTTTCTTCCTGTTTTTCTAATCTCTCCTTCTAATCTAATAGTGAGAGAAAATAAAGAAAGAGAGTAAAATAGTAGGAGAAAATAAAGACAGAGAGAAAATAGAGAAAGAGAGGGAAATAGTAAAAGAAAGAGAGACAAATAGTGAGAAAAAAAAGAGAGATAAATAGTAAGAGAAAGAGTGACAAATAGTGAGAGAAAATAAAGAAGGAAAATAAAATAGTAAGAGAAAACAAGGAAAGAGAGAAAAAATAGTGAGAGAAAACTAGAAAATAGAGAAAAAGAGGCAAATAGTGCGAGAAAATAGAGAAAGAGAGGGAAATAGTAGGAGAAAGAGTGACAAATAGTGAAAGAAAATAAAGAAAGAGAATAAAATAGTAAGCGAAAATAAAGAAAGCTAGTAAAAATAGTGAGAAAAAATAGAGAAAAAGAGGCAAATAGTGAGAGAAAATAGAGAAAGACAGGAAAATAGTAAGAAAAAATAAATAAAGAGAGGAAAATATTGAGAGAAAATAAGGAATGAGAGAGAGAGAGAGAGAGAGACAGAAGGAAGGAAAGATACTGAGAGAAATTGAGAGAAAGGGTGGGAGAGCATATTCAAAACGTGAAAGTGTTGGTTCGCCGGGGCGAATTCAGAAACAGAAGAGGGTGTTTTTAAGGGGTAGCCGAGTCGATTCGAGAGCCACTGAGAGGTGGGA